AGCTCTACGACGTCTGCGGCTACAGCGGTGAACTCGCGTTCTTATGCGACGAGATCTAAAGGGAGGCCGCAGCCAGCCCCCCAATCCAGCACCACATGGCCCGGGCCGAGGCCGAACAAGTCTGCGATCCAACGGTATTTGCAAACGACTGCTGGGGCAGCTGACCTAAGCCCCCACATGCCCTGTGGGAGGAGGCAGTAGTTGCCGTGGGCTCTGGCGGTGTACTTGTCCACATCCCGCAGTCTGAACATCTGAGAGGCATTGAGTTCTTCGACATCCTTCTGCTTGCACGCGAGGCTTTCCCCCGACGCCACGGGCAAGTGCAGGGGTGCCTGGGGTGGCGGCCCGCAGGCGGCGGGCTGCGGATAAGCCGCAAGAGGGTTGCGGTTGTTCGAAGGATTGCGACGCGTCGTCGCCGTCCCAGCGGCCGCCTGCACGACCAGCAGGGCGACCAGGCGACGCATGGAACCACGACCGGTCCTGTAGAAACACCGTGGTGCCGGAGAACAAAGTGTGATCAACGCTGGGCTTCAAGCCAAAATGGTTGCAGACACGACAACTTCACTCCTCTTCGCAGCTGAGCAAAAAATATTTGTTTGCTCCATTTCAGCATCTTGACATCATTTACTACTTGTGGGTTTCAGAATCGCTATTACAAACAAAAACAGAACATGGACAAAGAGAGTTAATCCCATTTAGTATCCCCAACAGCGGAATGGCTGTCGTTGGGCTCACATCGTGGGGCACCAGAAAAAAGCTGACAGAGCTGCAGATGGGGTTGTCCATGAAGTTTCGGGAGCTTAGTTTGAACACATCACGAATCTCAGCATGCCAGAGTAAAAGCTTTGGCGTAAAAGTTGCAGCGGAACCTGTGCCACAGCCGAACCTGTTATCCCGGAACCTGTCCCGGACCCTGTCCCGAACCTGCCCCCGATGGGCAAGAGACTTGCTAAGCTCAGCCTGCAAGAGTCAACATCCAATACCCCTCCCGAACTTTTCAAAAGGAATCTCATGTGGCGGGATCCGAGAGCTGGGCTGGATCAACATCGGTGAAGCTCTCACCTTCGACCTGAACACACACTCAAGCTAATCAAGTTGTGTAGCCTCCCTCCAAAGATTTCACGCAAACCAATATGAAACATCCCACCCAACATCATGCCCCTTGCCCTCGCCCCTCTAATTGGCCACTAAATGCTTCAGACAAGCCCCGTCGCCACGTCCTCTAGTGCAGAGGTATCCACACTCGGGGTAGAAGAAGTTCCAGGTTCGAACAAGTGCAGGGTTAGGATTACGGACCCGGCAAAAACAGCTGAGGTCAGGGCTGTGTAGTTGGCGAGACTTCCGTCTGCTGACATCCTTGGAGCTTAGATACATCTGGATACTTAAAACTGTGATTCAGCCGCCTCCAGCGCACTTCAGGAATCATGTAGTGGCTGTGGACCGGACGCTTGCCGACCAATTTCAGAATCTGGGCTCGGGTCCACTCCACCAACGATGCAAAGATGGCAATGTAGAGCCATGTACACCTGGATCACGACAGCGACACGTGCAAAAGAAGTGCGCTCGCATCGGGTCATTCTTGGATGCAAGACTGGCCCAAAGGGAAAGCACGCAAACGCACGGCAAGTGAAGGCAGGCAACCTCTTGAGTACTGACGGGTACTGACTGTATCTGACTGTCTATCGCCTGTGGTTGTGCCGCCGTTGGGCAACGTTTGACGAAGCCGACATCCGCGTCGCTGCAATTGCAGCCAGGCGGGAGCACATCCAAAGCCATGAATGCAAACAATCAACAGGCTGCTGCTTAGCTCCAATACTGAAGGTCTGCAACACATGCTCAAAGTCTGATCAATGAGTACGTATGATGTCAATACTGCGAAACAGTTGGTCGGCCGTGTTGTCGGGATGCACGAAGAAATCTTGTAAGTACGGTCTACCCACTCCAAGCCAAAAAGCCAGGCAAGGTGTTAGATGCCCGCAGAATCTTTCAAGTCGTCTCAAGATCCCGACTGAGCTGGATCAAACAGGGCTCGCACTGCCCAAGCCTTCGACGTAGACTGTTTCGTGAATGATGGAGGCAACAAGACAATGGGAGCCGCTCGTTTTTGCAAAGGCAATTCTAGTTCCGGAGCTACAACTTCTTGATTGTCGCGAGCTGGGGATTGGCATGTCCCAAAAGTTTGGCGGGAGGTTGACGACGTGCTTCAGTAGCTGGTGCCAGCCTATGTCCAGCTTGTCCTGAAAAGTAAGGGACAAATCTCCCGGGATGCAAACCCCCAGAACAGCAACTTGGTCCCATTCCTCGTCCGTGAGCCGTCCAAGGGCGCTAATCAACAGGATTCGAGACTTCTCCATCTGGTCTGCAATGGTCTCGGTGTGCTTCCAGCCTTGTCTCGAGGCTTTCTGAGCATCTCTATGCTCGAGAACTTGAACGCAACCCCCTGTGGCCCACCCCAAAACGCGCGGAGGACGGTAGCTCAAGCACGACTCTTGGAGGCGCCCTGCTACACTGAGGGAGCTTTCCGCTTAAGAAACTATCCAATACACCCGCAACAGGAAGCCAGATCAGGAATCCAAAGTATAGAGACCCGTTACAATCAATCGCGCGTTTACGGACGGCCATGCCAGCGATGCACTGTGGAAAGAATGCGATTTTAAGGTGCGGAACCGCAATGCGCCACGTACCAGGCGTTCACAACGAACAGGTGGGACACCCAATCCTCACCTCCTGCAGAGCTTCTTGATCAATGCATCTTCGTTGCTGCAACTCGGGTTGATGTTTCATCGGGACCACTGTGGCCCGTCGAAGGTGCACAGTTGGCTATGCAGTCTCACGTTGATGGAAAATCTCGTTTGCTCCGGTCAACGATGGACCCGCACTACCGGACCAGAAGAAATCGTATTCAGCGTCGCACGGTTTGCCTGTCCTTGGTGTGCGGTTGGCTTTCTTCCCCGAGCCCGAGGGCAGTAAAGGTGTAAACTGTCTATTTGGCATTCCGCTAGGCAAGGGTGCACCGCGCCATCGTTTCTCTGGCGCGACTGAGGGGCCATGGCCCTATCACCCGGGCATCAAGTCTGGCTTTCTTACTTTTTACGTTTTACGGCGTTGGGACCTGGCACACTTTCCGGATAGGCATGTCATCCGCTGTAGCTCGAAACCACTTTGCGGAACGAGCACGTCTGTAACGTGCTAAGTAACTTTGCTTGCAGAATACAATGGGATGCAAACAGTTTCTGGGTTTTTTGCATGACCGCAATTAGGGTCACCTTTGCTACAGATAGGAGGCTGTGCGGCGCTGACAAAAGTGACTTTACCCTCAGGGAGGCATGTGAAGATATGCGCAAATATCTCACAGTCACGTGCAGCGGCTCAAGCTCGGACTGCGGTCCCCCAGCCCTCCTGTGGCTCCTACTCCAGCTCGTACTGCCACGATCACTCCCACTGCCACTGCAAATACCATTGCTACTACCACTCCCACTACCACTGCGACTGCCACTACCACCACCACAACCCATCATACTACTACTACTACTACTACTACTACTACTACTACTACTACGACTACTACGACTACTACTACGACTACTACTACGACGACGCCGACTACTACTAC